ATGCAGGGCCAAATGGCAGCTTTCCTCCTCCGCATCCCCCGCCTGATCTGAGCATGCCGCCAAGGTGCTCCTGTCATCCGGAGGCAAAACATAGAGGCACAAAGAGGAACACAAAAGCGCTCAAGTTCCATTCAGGCCCATTAGGCTGAGCTCTACAGTTCCCGACCTCGGCCGTACACTATATGACCTACTGTTACCTATAAAGATGGATAAAACTACAGACAAAATGCAGTCGTCTGCAACGACTTTGTTAGCAATGTAATGTACTTTTGTCCATTTTTATAGATAACAGTATGTTGTACAGTGTCAGAAACCACATAAGTCTATTTAAGATTACTTAATGTGATGTCAAGATGAGTTGATGCTGATTTAGTCATGCAGTTTGCACAGTGCTATTTGGTGGAGAATAAGATTCCATTACTTTTCATCCACATCTGCATCTCCAACCTGCAGTTTAGAGAAGCTCCTTGTAGCTCAAGAAGCAAACATCAGATACCAAACCTATCTTGACTTGTTGACTACATTTGCAAAAAGTATAAAACAGTGTAAATTAATTTTTTTGATGGATTGTCACTTGGATCTTGTCTTAGTCTTTCCCAGCATCACAGAAATGTCTTAATATGATGCATTATATGCCCCCCCCCCTCCTCTGCAAAGCGCTGTGGCAGCTCTTAAGTATAGTTTAGAGCTACAAGCTAGATGCCACAGTGTAATTCGGTTGCACTGTGTTTGGATAAGCAGAACATCATCAGCATACACAAACACAGATACAGACACACATACAGTCAGACAGAGCACTCCAACCATGTGAACGTTTCCATTCAAAGAACTTGTAAGCTCTTACACAATACATTTAATCCAGATGTTTTCATTTCAATTTGCCTATGACTGAAAAAAATGGGGTAGAAAAGATTAAATCTAACTGAAACATTTATTTGTCTGTTGTCCTGCAGCTCTTTTATGATTGGAATGTGTCAGGAGGATGTGTGTTGTCTAGCCTTTGTAAGGTCAGACAGAAATCACCTAGCTGAGTCATTTTTCCCAGCGCAAACCTTCAGCTGTTTCAACTTTGATACAGGGGCCTCCAGAACAATCAGATTTTTTTCCTTTTAAATAGATCAGTGAAAAGTTTTATTTCTCTCATCATGTCAGTGTACGATAATGTTGATAAATAACAAAGACACTGCAGTTCTGGGGTCAGAAACACAGTTATCTACTGTCTACTGGGTACACTCATTTAAAACTAGAGTTTAAAATCACAATGAAATTGAAGAATCTTAAAATGAATTGCACATATTCCATTTATCAGTGTAGGTTTCAGTCATAATGTTGAGAATTGAGACTAAAACTATATTTCTGTTTTCTGAATGTCTGCCTTTGAGGCAAAGTAACCTCAGTATGCCGAGGGATATTAAATCTTGCCATGAGCCACATTTCATTATTTGGTTGCAAAAAGCACATCACCTTCTCAGAGTATTTAAAACTGTCAGTGTTAGAGTGGTCTAACCATGTTTGCAGAGAAGTGTCTGCCCCTGGGAGTTAATCCTGTCCCTAATCTAACACACCTGCCTCTGATATCCAGATGCTCACACTTCCACACTGTTTACTACCCTTATTGAGTACACTTCATCCCAAAACGAGGAAAAGTGATTTTTTTTTTCTCAGAATGAGTGTCCTTCAAATGATCCTCTTCCATTTACCCTTAGATGCACTGATGTTTCACCAGCTGCTTACAAACAAGTCAGTGACCAGGCACTTATCCAACATAAATTCAATTCAAAATTCAAAGGTCTGAGACAACATTGATAACCTGTTTTTCTAATTTAAATCTGGAAATAAACAACAGAAAGTTTTAGAATTTTGAAATTTTTAAAACACAAATTTTTAAAAAACAAAATTTTTAAAAGAAATAAGCTATGACGTTAAATTATGAAAAAATAATTAATATTTGAGGTCTAATTTAAGCAAAACTGTGACTTTTTAAAGTCTTATCCCTCCCAATAAAGCATGTGTTCTGATGATTCTAAAGTGGATTTGCACAAACTTGTGAAGTCAGAACTTTGGACCCCACTATATGCATGAATGTATTTTGATATAATAAGCGAGCTAAAGTGAATATTTTGGTGTTTTTCCTGCTCTTAACACACCAACTAAACCTATTAGCTGCTTAGTTGAATCAGTTGCGTTTGCGTAGAAAAACCACCAAACTGTGCCGGTCTCTGGCCCTCCACCACCCCTGATTTAAGGGTTAAGTCTGATTTTATCATTTGCCCACAATCATTTACCAATGCTGTAAAGAAAATGATCTGGCGGTACATTGCAGCTAGCGTGATACTCAGCTTGTTACTGTGAAAGTATTTGAATATGTCTAAAATCGAATGGATTGTGTGTCAGAAGAGCGTGCAAAGCATTAGGCTGCACCACCCCTGCGTGAGCGGATTGCGGGATACGGTGTGCTGAAAAAGAACAGTGTCCTGCACACTCCTTCCCATTCAGATTCACTGTAGGGAAATTTTCTTATGCGCTGTGGCCAGAGTTTCCTACCTACAGTTGTCGGGGACGTGACCTCCCACGAAAACTTTTCTGCGGCGCTGGAAACACCTAAACACCCCTGTTCTCTTTTAACCCACTAATTACTGGCCCTGGGCACCCGCTGCTCCCTTCCCAAACCTCCTGGTCATCACATTCTGTTGCTATATGGCCACAAAAAAGAGAGGCGGAGGAGGAGGGAGGGCTGCTTTTTCTTGCTGCTTCTCAATCTCTGGAGGAGAGAGTTCAGCAGTGACTTTCTCTGATGAGAGATGTGTTTACATAGGCATTTTTTATTTGGGCGCGTGCGTCTGTCCTCCTCTCTCGCGCCGGAAAGGGGGGATGATGAATGCCTCTGCGGAGGTTTGGGACAGGGCCGTGGCGCACCTCTTTGTGAGCAGGTTGGGCCGGAGCGAGGGGGCAGACGGAGTGCTCCCCAGGGCAAAAGCAAAAGGGGCCCCGGTTTGGCTTCCACCTCCTATTGCCTCATCCTGAGGCCCAGTGGATTTAAGGCTCATGTCAGCCCAAGACTGGGTGCACTCTTAATCATCTAAAGCGCAAGAGGCTGGCAGCAGCCAGGGTTACGGAGAGGGAGAATGAGGCCATCTCTGGAGGCACACGTGTATGTGTGTGTGCGTTTATTTGTCTCCTATAGCGCCTCAGTGAGAGACACACATTGACCTGATGAGGGGAACTAAGTAAAGAAAACCACATCCAAACACACCATGAGAAAACTGAAGGCAGACTCTTGGGGTAATACGCATTGTGAAACCAGACAGACAATCTGATCTGCTTTCTGGTGTCATATTGATTATAACATCTCACTTCCCACTCAATCAAATGTCAGCCCGTCACGCAGCAAGGGCTTTTGCGTCCGTTTCACTTGTAGCTTTTGCCCATTGCCCATTCGCTGAATGTGAAACAGCCTACTACTGAATATTCGCTTTTCACATTTCTTTTACTGCTATTTTAGGACTTAAGCATACTTTACTATATTAGCGTTTTGAAATATTTTAGGCATATACATAGGTTCTGTGTCATGTTTGTACTTATTCTGTATAAGTACCATATAATTACATCAAAATCTCATTGCAGTGGTTCATTTTTTTTTTTAAACAGTGAGATTATGTTTGTTTTATATGTGTGTAGTTATGTACAGCACTGTTGACCTACTACTGCTGTTTTAAATGTGCTTCATAAATAAAACTGACTTGCTTTTAGGGATGCAAATTTTGACAAATTCTTAGGAATGAAAAATGACCGGCATCAGTCATTGTTTAGTCATTTACCGGCAAACCCTAAATAAGCGATGAAACCCATCAAAATATCAATGATAAAATGGATATTTCTAGTTCTGAAATCTGAACTTTGTCTGAGCTGTGTCTGAAACTATTGTAACATGCATGATATGCAAACATTTTAAGCTTCCCTATATAAGAACCTGGTTTTATTTAAACTGAGGGGCAGACAACTTGTTTTTATTCAGGATTATATGATCAGATACTAAATAGGTAATGAAATAACTGAAATATATAATGATGGGCTATTGAAAGTTCTGGATTCTAAAGTTAAAATGTTATATTTGCCAGTCATTATAGCCCAAGTTAAGATGAACATATAGGGCATGACCAGGGTAGCTTTGGCTCAGTGTCCCTCAGTGGCTCTCAAAAGCTGTTATTATTTTACGTCCTACTCTGTTATTTTGCACATGCACACGTGTGATTTCCTCACACTGCCGTGCATCACACTTTCTCTTAAAAAACTTGGACAAAATAGTTGTCTGTCCTATGACTTGTGGATGTTTGATTTTGATATGCTACACTGATGTTTTTGTGCTGTCGTCCTCTTAAATAGTGGTCTGGACGTCACTATTTTTAGCTGCACACTTTTTTAGTAGGCCTATCTAGAGGAACTAATTGCTTATTGCGCCCTCATACCTGCAATTCAAAAATGTCCCTCCATTTGACTGGCAAACACGGATATTCAAATAGTAACTGTTTTTAGGGGAAATAAAGTGAAATCAACTGTTCTTCAGTAACTTTGGTCAAACAGTTCTTTATTTGTTAGTTAACGGTTCATTGGTTAATCATACATTCCTACTTTCTTTACCTTAATTATGGACAAATGTGTTCTGAAGCCAGACTTGCCTTGCTTGGACTAAATGAGCTGAAGTACAGCACTCACTGTATGAGAGCACACTGCTGAGCGCAGGGTGTTGTGTTGCGCTGCTTAACAGCAGCAGAAGGTTGAGCCCCAGCTGTTCTCTGAGGTGCAGGTGGGGAGATAAGAAATCATCACAGGCCTTCCTCTCATATCCTCTCTCCGAGTGGCAGCCAATAGAGTACAGAGCGCTCGCCTGCTTTCATCTGCCTCGCAGCACTTCCTATGAGTTTGAATGTCACTAACTCCTGCTACCTCTCCCTCTTTCTGTTTCTTTCTCTCTCTTCATCTCTGTCTATCTCTCCCTACAGATAGTGGTGCGGACACATCAGGAGAAACGCAGAGCAAGAGAGACGAGAGAGTGTGAGAGGAAGAAGAGAGAAGAGGAAGGTGGTGTACAATGTGCTAGTGGAGTGGAGGAAGACGAGCGCAGGTGTTTTTCTGATATTCTCGGGGTGTCAGAGAGACCGACGAGGACGCCAAGATGGGAAGAAAGAAGATCCAGATCACGCGGATTATGGACGAGAGGAACCGGCAGGTCAGTCTCTCCTCTCTTCTTCGTCCTCCTCTTCCTAATGCCAATCCAAGAATCCTGTCCAGTGGCCTTAGTGCCACTGATCATTAATGGTTTTTTAAAATGTAGGCCCATGCCTCAAATTCTCACTCTTGTAAATACATGACATACATGTTTGTTTCATACCATACAGTTAATAATAGTTGCTCAATAATAAATCTTAAGTCAGAAAAAAACAATATACAATAATCACACTTCTTTAAAAACAACCACGTCAACATCTCCAACTATGCTGTAGGCAACCTGATATTATTCAGATGAATGCCAAGACCAGCGAGTTAAAAACTTTATTTAAATCATCACTGCAGATTTTATTGGTCTCTCCTTTTAACGGGCACACACTACTGAAAATATTGTGCTGGAGCAGAGCAGAGCAGAGTTGACCTGCAAACTGTCAGGTTAATAGACTTTTACTAAAAATTCATCTGAATAGTGAAAAAAGTGAGAATTGTAAAGCAAAAGTATATAAAAATGTTTGAGCATTATCTGTATTGCTACAGTGTTAGTAAAGAATTCATTTACCAACATTTTGTTTATCATCCACCAGGTTCAATATATAGACAAAGCCAAAATCGACTGGTCAGATAGGTCATTTCATTATTGGTTAGTTAAGGGTCATCTGCACATTGGCTAAAAAAGTGCTGTCCCAGCATCTACACCAACGCTTAGCTGCCCTCACTCGAGTGCACCCAGACAGCCAGCCAGCCAGACAGACAGACACACAAAGTCCCACTCGTTAAAAAAGGGACCGGGACACGTTTGCAGTCGTACTTACAGACGCGTCTCCCGCACACCACCCTACAATTTCAGTGCTGAGGAAGTTGATGAGGCAGCAGAAGCCGGCGTTAGCCAGCCAGTGTGTGGGTGCAGAGGCAAGCAGAGGGAGAGGGAGGTGAAGAGAGGGCTGACTGTGGCCTCTCTCTCTGTCTCTCTCTCTCTCCCTCCTCACTGGAGGGCTCGAGACGGGGCCCAGAGGGGGCCCATTGCGCTCCCTGTGGTTGCAGCTGGTTGCTAGTAATTAGGAGCAGCCACTGCACCGCAGCACCCTCTCATTAGCAGGGAGGGTCAGCAGGACATTCAGTGTCCTTCTCTCTCTGTCTCTTTCTCTCTCTCTCTCCTTCTGTCTCTTCTCTCTTTCCCCACACAAAAAAGTGCCAACGCTCTGGCCAGCCACAGAGACAGGCTGGAATTCACCCTCGTCTGCTCACGCTAAATATAAACAGCGCAGCCCAGCTCAGTCTGGCCTGCTCCAGCCGCTGTCTCCCACACATACACATCTCTTCCATTCACCGTGCCTGCTGTCTGCCGTCCACTTCTCATCACTGTTCCACTATCAGGACAATACACTCTGTGCTAATTCCCGGGTTAGGCTGATGTAGCATATTACAGTAATTGAATGTCCATTCTGAAGACTCTATATGATACAGGCAGATTCTTCTAGAAGGCTTTTTTGTAGGGCTCCTGCTTTAAGGGTATGATAATGAAAAAAAAGAAAAAAAAAGAAAAGTACCCCATCAAAACTGCTTGGATGCGCCCCATTCACACCCTCTCAAAATATCATTTGCACCGTCTTGCCGGCGAAAGAACTTTCTTGCCGTGCTAGCGGAAAGCTAATTGAGGTTTTGCTCGCTCTCCTGAGGGTGATAACATAACAGCCAGTGCCCCCCCTCTACCACCCTCCTCCACCCCCCCTCTGCTCTCCAGCTCAACCCCTTTCTCTCCGAAAGCAAGTGTGGAGGTAGCAGTTCATCCGAGTGAGAAACTCAGAATTTACAGGACAGGCCAATTATCAGCATAACACCCGGCCCTGGGTGGGATCCAAACATGGAGGCAAGCAGACAGAAAGACGGCTGCTAGGAGCATCAGCATCTGTGCTCTCTGCCCTGGCCTACACCTACAACATCAGCAGAGGCAGAAAGACAAGAAAGGGGGAAAAAACGAGCTAGTGTAAAAAAAAAACACTTTGTTGCCGGCTGCTACTGAATTAATGAAATGTATTCATTTATGCTGGAGTGAAGATTTTCAGGTCTAATTGAATTGAAAATATGGGCTGGAGTGGGCTGAAGAGGTAAAGAGTGGCTGTTTGAAATTCACCACTTCGGTAGTCGTTGTTGGCAAACGTGTTGTTTCAGGAGGGCTTCAGCCCTTAGCTGCAGCTGTAACCACAGAACAGCTCAAAAGACAATGGCTGGTAATTAACAGTTATCATGTCCATCAGATTTCAAATGTCACGGTCTGCATCTTAGCGAGTAGTTATCAGTGACAAGCAGGCATTGCGTGAGTGGCGTTTGGCCTGCTCAGCATAGGCTTCTCACTGGAGATTCTGCCTCAAACTCCTTTATAAGAGGATGTGTATGTATGTGTGTATATACTGTATGTGCGTACCTCTTCTTTCACGGACTATGAACCTCATTTCTTCTGCTCTCTGGGGTGCCTTCCTCACCCAGGCGAGTTGGCCATTAGCATATCGGGCCCATTGTGAAGATCAGTTTGAATCTTTATCTGTGCAGCTGTGCTGCCAGCAGCCTGTGTTCACGGCACAGAGTCGAGGAAGCTCCTTAAGTAGGCTAATTAAATACGCCAGCAATGTTGCACACTGATTCTTGCATCATTATGGGAAGTGCTCTAGAAAGCCTGTTGACCTATCAGAATTTGTATGGTGGAAGCTGGCAGGGGTTGGGAGGTCTGTAATTGCAGTATCCATCAAAACAAAGGGATTCGCTTCAAGAGAAAGCAGGGAAACAGGACATTTAAGCGTGCCATTTTGGGGCCATATTTCATAACAGTGGTGCAGCCTGGAGGTCCAGGGCTACATTTATTGCTCTGTTTTGCTCTTTGAATTAACCCTATTTGGGTAGCTTGTGAGTTTTGCTACCTGTGGAGCATATTGGAGATTGTGGTTTCGTGCTGGACTGTGAGGGTTACATAGACTAGTTGACTAAAATGTTCACTAATACATGCTAGAGAAAGTGCCTGGTTTAAATATTTAGAGATGGAAGCAGCAGAAAGATGCAGCTGGAGGGTCCAGAAAGGAACTTTTATTTTTAAACATGAAATGTACTTTGTTAGCTTGGAAATTCTTCATAAGTTGCATAGGGCTACGCTGAAATACAACAAAAATATTTGGTAACTGCAAGTAAATACTTTGTTTTGTTCTATAGTAATTATATTATATTATATGTAATATAATAGTGTCATCTTAGCTGTTATGTCATGTTACTTGTAATTGTCTTGACAGATGCCATAAAGTTTAATATCACATGCTAATTTTTGTATTCTAGTTAGCAGTCATAACATCAAACAGTGTGAAATCTGTCATGGCGATTAACAGTAATGGTAACATGACACTGTTACTAGACATAATCTGTCATGACGACTCATGACAGCCTGTGATATCTGCTATGACAAGTTTATGACACGGTTAGGTCAGTCTTACGTAGTAGGCTTCAAGTAAGGCTATGTTCACATTTCCAAGCTGAAATGGCACAAGTCTAATAAAGACCTGAGCCACTTTCATATGTCATCCTATATCGGATGCATATCAGATTTGTGGCCATACGACCTTAATAAGAACGCTCAGAGTGGAATTCATGTGTGTTTTTTTTTCAGCCACACATATGCTATCATTCAGCGTTAACGCTATCATTTATCATTAAGTTTTCACCCTCCTCTCACTCTAATGAACAGCTGTTCCAAGCAAATTATCTTCGCAACAAAGGCTTGTTCTGCTGGTTAGTTAGTTTGTCGTTCATGATGCACATGAACGTGATGTCATTGATAAGGATGTGCACATGCGGGTCATTTAAGGACACACAACAAATTTGTGTCACTTACCTTCACAGATATGTACCATCAAGTTGGACAGATCAGATATAAGAAAAAAATCAGAATTGAACAAAAAGGCTTGTAATGTGAACATAGCTTTAAGTGTCGCCAAATACGGCTGCTATGCATAACCTCCTCAAAATGAAGCATCCAGGTTTTCCAAAGGACAAATTTCCAGTTTTGGAATGTCAATTTTGAAGCACTTTTATTTTTGCCTTTTTAAGGTAAATTATAACTGCTCAGCTACCTTTTTAAATAACTAGTCAACTAGTAAACAATTCAGAATAGACAACATTGATTATGGGACAAAAAACACCTTTGAATAATGGCTGCACTGTGACAAAGTGCGCAAAGTAAAAGGAAACCTTAGAAAGATAAATAGTTTGATTAGCTAATTAATTCAGTGATGGTTAACAAATTAATCGATTTTAGAAATAATAGCTGTAGCCTAATTAATAGTTGCGCAACCCCTAGTTGGACACTGATTGAGCCAGTGAGTTTGCGCTGTCAGTGAGAACAGGTTGAGTTTGACCCTGACACTGTTTCATAATGATGCCAGTAGAGATTGTTCCTCTCTTCTTGGTTCCCTCGCTGCCGTGCGCTTGCGCTGTGAATTAAAAATGGAAGAGGCAGAGGCCCTGTCATGCATGCCACCCTGTCCTTCTGGAACGTTCCCCCAGCTGCCCCTTAAGTGCGTCCTGATGGAGGAAGAGGAGGAGAGATAGGGAAAGAAGAAGAAGAAGTAGACGAATGTAACCGGCGAGCTTTGCTGAACAGGCCAGGTTTGACAAGCTAATTGCAAAGCTGTGTAGGGGGCGGACACCTGCCATAATAGCGTGGAAGGGCAGAATTATCCCGTAACAACCCCCTTCCTCCTTTCTTCATCCTCTGCTACCTGCCTGTCCGTTCTTCTGCTCAGTTCAAGCTCTGACTTGCTTCTCGAGTTCTCCAAGCCTGCAATTATTAGCCTTAACGATGACATGCACCTGTCTCGCTTGGACAGCACAAAATAGATGGGCAAAAGCATAAGTGCGCTGTTAAATTAGCTCCCCCAGTGAAACGAGCCTTAATTACTCTAGTGGACTCAAAAGCCTCTAATGAGAGATGCCTCTCCTGGAGAAAACAGCAGCTCTCCAGCG